TTACAGTCCACACTATCCCCGGCTTGTGACTCATGTATTACCTGAGAGTCAGAAGCTGGGGCTGAGTTCACACCGGCTCATTGTCACATTCAGACAATTAAAACATTCAGGTAAGCAAACTTAAAAAAAAAAAAAAAAAAAACTTCTTTACTACCAAGGACCAATATCTATAATCAGTAAAACACACTGCAGGTGTGACAAGACAGAACAAGACCCCAGAGACACCTCAAAGACTTTCTCTCTCTCTCTCTCTCTCTCTTTTCGTTCACTCAGGGACACACACACACACACACACACACACACACACACACAGACCAAAACAATGCGGCAACCTGCAGCTTGACAGTTAAACCTCTTGCTACTGGTAAAACACAGCCTTCAACGTTAAGAAGGATTTAAAAAGGAAAAACACACAAACTAAAAATGTTATTTAAACAGATTCACAATTTGTTGAACTGATGACAGCTCCTCAGAACATAACCTGTGTCAAATAGTGGCATCCACAAAGGATCCAAATCTTTACCAGACAACTGAAAAATCTACGGCTGTTAAAATTTCAGGTTGAAGAATGTTACTAGGAACAACCATCCAAAACACAGCCGCTCCCTCGAGGGGTCTCTGCACATGTTGGTGCGTCAAGGTAGTCGAGTAAGGGACCGTCTATTTACTGATGTGTGCAACAAAGAAAAATATACTTTAGCAAATTATTATGATATGCATTTTCGTTAAATACACAATGTTATAATGTGGACTTTATTTTATTTGGATGGACTTTACAGGGCAGATAGGAAATGAATGAGGTACATGACAGAGACTAAATTAAGTTTTTGAATAATACAGATGATCTTACTCTGAGTCAAACATTACTGACTCCTGTAGACGGACATAAGAAAATTCTTTAGAGGAAGCCGAGACCAGGAAGACGTTCAGAGATGAGGGTGAGAGAGAGAAAGAAGACATGGCGGTAGCTGGTGTGCGAGTTAATGTTAGTTTAGTTAGCTAGTACGTAACCAGGAGCAAATGTTGAATGTGAAGTAAATTAGAATTCTGTGTATCAATGCATATGATCTTAAAACACTAATTATCTGTGAAATAAAATGAATGAGTATGTTGCATAATACATCACACATAGTGGTCTATGTTAAGATTGGACTATTCATTCTGAATTTAATAAATATAATATTTGATGCTCTTGCCATATAGTCAAAATGTTGTATGCATGTTTAACAAACAGGTGAACCTGAGGCAGGAAGGGAAGGTGTGGAGCAATCTGTCTGTGTCTATGGAGACTGGTGTATGACCACCAGCCATCTAATGCACCCCACAATGTTGAAGTAGCTGGAGCATCGACATGTTACGTGGCCTTATGAGTTACAACAAATGATTAGATTGTGTGTGTTTTATTTTAATTGATTTGTTAATAGATTAAATTGTGAAAATTCAAATCTGACAAATCAAACTGGGGATACTTGAAATGCAGAAGAATGCAAAGAAATGTGCAATACAGGGTCAGACTTTTACACCATATAAACATGTCCAGGATATTCTTTATGAAAATATTTATTTCAACATGCATAAAGATTAATATCTCTACATTTTTACCAGTAGTTCTTTCAGTAGCAGTATGGCAGTGGAATGGTAAGCGGCGGAGTGGGTGTGTCACTGTGACTTGAAGGTGGTTGTTTGTTTATTAGTGTTAAAGTTAGAAGGCTGAATCATCAGTACATGCTGTGTCAGCTCTTCTTTATCTTGCTCTCCTTCTGTCTACATCTTTCTTTTTCTGCTGCTGTTGTTTGGGCCAAAACATTTCATGTCTGTCTACAATACACCAAGTCATCCCTCTCCTCTTCTCCCAGCAGGGGAAAAACAGCAAGAGGTAAATGATTAAAGGAGGATGTGTGTGAGTCTATTTATGTGGGTGCCTGACAGCTAAGAGATTAGATTTCCTTTAAATTGGTTATTACTAAAACAATCCCTTAGGCTGGCTGTCTCTCTCACACAGTTTATTAAGAGAGAGAGAATTTGTCAGGAACTGTTGTCACCTTTCCACACTTCAGCTTCTTGAATGAGATATGAAAAGAGCTTTGCCTTTCAGAATTGTTTCTCTTTCTTCGTTTTGTTCAGACAAAGCCTCAAAGCTACAAATCCTTAAGTTCAAGCATTTCCAAAGTGCAGCAAGAAGAGCAGTGTTTGTGAAGCTGTGCCCCCTTGTAGCTGTTGGTCTCAGCTAGTATGTTCATCAGTCGGGTAATGTGAAAGTATTTATTTTCTGAAGTGATGAAATCAGACAATGTCAGTCAGACAGGATGGAGTTTTATTAGTGTATCAATCAGGATGGGAAACAGCTGGGAAACCTAATCACCATCTCTCAGTATACAGTGTCTCCCACCACAGTTTAAGTGATAATTTTAGCATTTACATCGATCAAACATTCTGACGGATTATGTTACACAAAAAAAATGCTAAAAACATGTTGTATTTCAGCTATGAGTCAGTTTTACACTACTATAAAGAATAAATATGCCCATGCATCCAATGACACCTCCACATAGGTGGATATTCTTGTATAAAATCAAATACATCCACCGTCATACATACACGCACAGACACATTTACAATTCAGCTGTAAACATCAGTGTCCATACAGCTGCCAATTTGCAGCATTTCATATTTGTAACAATTCAATTTAACCACAGCGACACACACACACACAAGTAGTATTCATAGGCCTGGGAAAACTAGGTTTTAAGCTTAGCTTAAAACATGCATAAAGTTGTTCTACTGTAGATCTTGGCTCACAAACCAGAGTGAATGCTGTTTATTTTAGACTGCAAACACAATGTTCAGTATCTTAAACATTTATGATGCTTTATACACAAGCTTTGACATGTATCAGTATACAATATTACACTGTGGCATTTGATGTATTCCTAAAATAGAGTACAGCCATAATTTAGGATCTGCTGATATACTGTATATGCAAATACAACAGAACTCAAGTCAAACTATTTGAAATTTTAATGGAAAGTCCTTAAAACCATCAGCAAAAACTTGAATGTTAAAACTTGTGGTCATGATAGTGTAATACTACTATTTGATCACCTTTAATAATAATTATTGCCAATATAGCCCACGTGTTTATTTACTGAATTATCTATTTATTATTGAGTTTTAACACTAATTGTCTATAAATTCAGATGTGGTCACATTGTCATCCTTGTATTTACCAAACACCATCCTGCATCATCAGTCATGCTCACAGTATACACAAATTAAAGACTATTAAGGATGGAAACTTTACCACATGTGCAAACATCAGTTCACAGCTCCAAAATATCATAGTGGTTTGATTTAGACTGACAATGGCTCATAAAGAGACAACAGTGAGGTGCAACTGTTTATGCCCTGCAGCACCAAAGGAAAAAAAAACAAAACAGATAATTCCTCAATCTATTTGAAAGCAGAAACAGTTGTACTGTAGCTAATATGCCAAACATCATGGCAGGGTAACAGAAGAACAAAACAGTACTAAATGTTATGTTTCTAACCTTATGATCACTTCTGGCCTAAACCAATCCCTTACACACTGAAAACTGAATTTCTATAGGATTGTTCTCTTAAGTCCCTCATTCCTAGTCCCCCATTGCTATTCATCAAGGTCACTGGTGGTGGTCTTGTCATCTACCTGGCAGAGCACCAGTCCTGCTTTCCAGCCCATTATGGCACCTGTGATGCGTGAATGTGTGTCAAGAGGCGAAAGCAGGGAGACTGTGAGCATGCAGGAAACAGCGAGAGAGAGGAAGAAGTTACAGGAAGCTGAAAAACTAAGAAAAATATTGGTTAGAAGTGGGAGCTGGATCTGAAGGTTTAAACCAAGACAGACAGGGAGGAAAGAGTAAGGATGGGGGTACAAAAAACATGGACACAGCAACATGACAGACCACCACCCCGAAAAAACAGTGATCTTCAAGATGAGAGCCTTAAGAAGTGTAGGCAGAAAGAAAGTGAGTTAACTAGCAGGAGCATACGACAGAAATGTCCTCTGGGCCCCTTCTGGGCATTTTATGTGACAAACTGTGCGTTAAGCAGGGAGAGTGAGCATATGTTGGCATGTTATATTGATGATCTTACGAGTGCCCGTCTCTTGGTGTGGAATAATAGCCTGGCAGTGATTTTCAGAGCATTTAAAACTCAGCACTGTTGCTCCTCAGTCTCTAGTTGGTTTAACTGATTAAAAATGTAAAGACAAATATGAACGTGCATTTCTCACCCCAAAGTAACAAGAGCAGAGAGGAAGACAACAGGTGAAGCAGAAAGCAAGATCAAGGAAAAACAGATTGATTGTGCGTATGTATTGGTGGTAGGAGTGCTGGTGGAAATCGGCAGTGGCGGGGAACAAAAGGGAAATGGGTGGGTGCCAAGATCAGATGACAAAAAAAAAGGCTGCTGAGATGGAGATAAGAGATGAATCATAAAGAAAACAATAAAAGGCAAGATGAGACAGCAAAGGTTTGTTAAACTGGTGCTCTAACACAAAGGTCAAGGGTCAAATTCCTGGAGTGTGTTTATGTATGTGAATAGCTGTGACATTGCATCTGAATAGTCCTTTGTTAGCTCTGACTGTATAGATTTAACCAAATCAGCCTGCCAGAGGGGAGTGTTTGTGTTTGATGTGTAGTTTGTGTTAAACTTACACCTGTTTAAATTGTATGCATCCATTAAAAAAAATAAATGCAAGCAGCGTTGTGCTGCTAGAAACCCCAAGGGGCAAAATCCCTTCTTCAACCTCAAAGCATTTCATCGAACATGCATTGATTCTGCTGCCTGTTCTTCCTTCATCATTCTCCTGAGATTACTAAGCTTTAAGCCAGAGAAATGCAGTGAAAGCTCCTTATTGAGTCACTCTGTCTCCTGCTACACTGATTTAGGATCAGATAAGCTTGCAAGAATCTTAATCGCAGCAATTACCGACACAGTAGTTGGTGGGATATTAAACATACCTTCCTGTGTGGGTGGAGAGGTGGACAGCATGGAGGTGGGAAGTGCTTTCGGTCTCCATCACTCCTCCTAGCTGGGCTGTCCTTCTTTGCTGTTCGAACATAGGAGATCCTCCTTTTAATGCTCCTGTCTTGCTCCTCTGCAGAGACCGGTTTGGTTCTGCTTTCTTGACCCTGGCTCTGATTAGAGTGAGGGGGATGTCCCAGAGGTGCTTCCCACCAATCTGTCTCCAGGTAAACATGAATGCACACACACACAGCAGTGAGCAGAACACCCCAACGCAGCAACAAGCCCCAAGTGAGTCGCTCTCTGCCCATGTCCTTGCACAGTTTTGTCGTTTGTCTCGGCTCAGTCCATCTCCTCAACTGAAAGTGATGGTTTGCCCATTGCTTTTTCTATCCCATTCTTCTTGTCACTGTGTCCTCCTCTTTTCCCTTCTTCTCTTCTCATCCAGCCTTTCCTTCTTTTCAGGTCCAAACACCTCTGCTCATAAACCTAAACACATGTGCCTGCAGCTTAGTCTCTACGATTGTGTGCATGTTAGTGTGTAACAAGGCTCTGCAAACGGATTTAAAAGTCCAAAGTGTGTTGCTCTCTTTGAAAACTTTGGGAACTCCCTCCTCACTTGCTCAACTCCAAGTTTGCCCAAACACACACGCCCCTTTAATTTGCTTTCTTTTTTTTTTTCTATCTGGCTTCCATCGCATATACACACACACACACACACACGTCCCTCTATTTTTTTTTTTCTATCTGGCTTACATCGCATACACACACACACACACACACACGTCCCTCTACTGGACTGCCCCCTCCCTTGGGCTGACTCCCCCACCCCACAGACTCTTGGGTTACTGTGTAACTCTAAATATGGGCAGGGTCTGCTGCTCTCAGCATCTGCATAGGAGCTGGCAACCTCCCTGGATAGTGGAGCAGATAGTATTACCAACATTCATTCTCAAGTCTAATATTTTTATGCAAAATCTACAAAGGTTCTATTTTAAAAGTGCATAAACGTGCATTGCATTTGGAAGCATTTCGATACAGTACATAAGAGGCGAAAGTAACAGCTGAAAATTAATTTTTGCTTGTTACTGGCGCTATTCAGGCTGGTCTTGAAATCTCTCTGGCAACTCGCTGACACTAACTTCTGTGCTTTAATTTCCCTGCCAATAATTCTCAGATAATTTATCTGTAAGCCAACACTGCCGTAATGGTCTTCTCAAGTCATATCATTAACTCTGTCATTGATTTCCCTCCGAAGACTAATCTGCTGTTTATAAACTAATTAATAATCAGACCTCCTTCCCGTGCACCCATTTAATTAATATATTATTGATATTTTTGACAAAATGAGGGCACAGAACTAAACAGAGATGCCAAAGCAGATTATTTCTGGATGGAGAAAAGCACTGCTCATGAATGTTTTACTCACAGAGACACAACTCAGTCTAAGACTCCATTCTCTCTGCTGCCTAGATCCTATGAGAAACTTTTGTGTTATGCTACTATCTTAAAAAAATAATAATAATCCCTCAGCTCGTCCCGTTCTTTCTGATGCAACTGTTTTACCTTCTGATCAGTTTCACAATCAATCGGATTTCCAAGGACAATAAACACATACCTAAACCCATAATCACCTGCACTTCACTGGAGACAGCAACAGTGTATAACTGTAAATATTATTAGGTATATTAGTATGGACAGCACACTAACATTAATATATTGGCTTGTTTTGTTTGTACGCACACAGGTAGTGTGTGCCAAGTTTAAAATACACAAAGGAGGAATAAGATGGTGGCAAACAGCAGCTTTAATAAAGTCAATAAAAAAAGCTTGGGAGAACTGTCAGAACAGGCCTATCTAACACCAAGGGTGGAAAATTCTCTAAAAGCTTTTAAAAGCACATTTAGTTTACTTTTCTATAATTAAAAATGTTTTTGTCAATGTATGAACTACCATAAATTTAGCAACCCTCTGCGTTGGTACTTAAGGAAGAGTAAATAAAATAAAATAAAATAAAAAAGATCAGGTGGGGAACACTTTAGGAAGAAAAGTCAATGATGGTACACTGTATACCACTGACTGCCATCTACTGCCACCAAGTGATCAGCTGTGAACATTTACAACCATATGGATTAGATTAGACCTCATTTTCTGTCTACGAAGATTAAAGTGATGTGGTTCAAACAGTAACTTAAATGTTAATGGTTCTAGAAGCAACAAGAGCATGAGCAACAAATGCACCTCTGTCAAAATGAGTGCTGAGTCCAGTAGATGTTACTATGTAAAGGGTTAGGGTGCGTGCAATAATGTTGCAATGCTTGTTTCTGTGTGAATTGGTTTACAACTTGAAGGAAACGAGCATAATAGCTAAAAATGTTAGAAAACAAGTTTCAGGAACAGGCCTTCTCAGAGTGAACACAGAACATTTTTACTGTCTGTAGATGGCATTACACACATTGAAATAATTTGTCAGGGTCTGGCCACAATCTGCTGCCACATAAAATGCATTCCTGTAAATCTGACTCCTTTCTTCCTCTCTCTTCTCCTCTCCTCTCCCAGAAGAAGGTCCACAGCACAAAAGTCACGTGAACTCGATTCTACTGGCTCCTTATTTAGCAGTGTGCAAAAGTCAGCGCAAAGGTTAAAACAAAGGTCACACAGAACCTCACTGTGAACCCAACACAGTGACCCTGGTGTGATCCCAGTGAAGAAACATATGGATCTCATTGGCAGAAAATTCTTTAGTGTGACATAATATGGCTCAAAATGTTCAGCGAATGTGAGTTAGACAGTGGCAAAGTTAGCACAAAAGATGTAAAGAGGAAAAAAAAAAAGCTTATGTCTCAAAAGCAGTTCAGGTACACTATTTTACTGCAAGTCCTTTTTATAGCCAGCAGATAGACCAGCTGGTGAACCCATACTCAGTACAAACAAACAAAAAAAGAACAAACCATAAATGGAGCCTGCTGGGAATATAGAGTGGAGGACTGAAGAACAAGACAACGAACACCTCAGCTAAAACACGAAAAGTGTAAACCCATCACTGGCTCACACAGAGTGTGAGGCTCATGCTATAAAGATTTAAAAAAAATATATTAGAAAATTCCTTTTTAGGTTTAGAATTTCAAGATAAGGTCTGCAGGTTACTTGCAGGTAGGATTAACTTGTTATCCAGGAACTCTTCTCATATGTGCTGTGTTGTTTGCAGATCTCACAGCGCAGAAGGGTCAAACTAGACTAAACAGGACTGAAACAGAATAACCCTTAAACCTGGATAAACGTTTCGAGGCCTTGACCAGTGGGAAGTGGCCAGTTGTGACAGGAACACGTGAAGGTCAGAGTCTGCTTGCTCTTGGCTGGGGCTCGAAATACCACTCACATGTACAAAATGTATTCAAGCACTGGTGCACTCAAACTCAGAAAAACTTTGTCCACCGTCACTATAGTACAATCCCAAACGAGACAAAATCTAACCCTTTAAATACACTAACTTCCACACTTGCATCAAACAGCAGAACAGAACAGGACATGTACGTTCCTCAGCAAGGATAATCAGCTTTTATCTTTAATGACCACATGACACCAAGTTTTATCAGCTTCCTCTCCATACCGTTGAAAAGGAAGGAGGTGGACAACAAATAAAAGCTGGCAGGTCAGTGGGAGCCGAGACAAAGAGGTTACAATCAGCTCTTTAAAAGAGGATCAAACTCCAGTGGTCACTGTCAACAGCATGCACTGGATTTAGCTCTCCTAAACAGATAAAGACATAGATATATCATAAGCTCACAGCTTATGGTATAAGCTATAAAGTACACAGAATACTAAAAACAAAAAGTATTTTACATGAAGAGACTGAATATCCTCTCAACTGTTGTTGTTTATGGCAATCAAACCAGACTCCTGTTAATTATGTGTGAAATATTTGTTAATGTTTAAATGATGATTTTGAAAAGACAGACCTGCTGTTAAGGTTACACATTGTTTAAAAATCATCACTGTCGCTCCACATGAAGTGCTTCTTCTTATTTTCTTTGCCCAGTTTTATCATTTCCCATCTGAGGAAATAAAGCAGATCGTGCGTCAGTGACATTGTCATAGTTTCTAGGAGTAGTCCAGCCAAAACGAGGCGTATTGAGTCAATACGGCAACAACTATAAAAGTCAGCTATCAATCATTAATCAGCAGCCCTGGCAGGAACATTTGCAGAAACACAGAGGACGACTATTGTGTCAGAAATTCTCATGTAGCTTTTTTTGTATACTTACGTGAATTTAAATGCAATCTGACACGTTATTAATTTGTTGCACATTGAGCGAGATTAGTAGGGTATTGAAACCAACCTGGGTAGGGTTGTGAAAATAAAAATCAAGGATGGCCTAAACCCTACCTTACCCTCAGCTACTCCATCATGGGCCCACAAGGGCTGCTACTATGGAAAGTAGACTTACAGGCTCTAGGAGTAAATATGGCTCCATGAAGTCAGAGGCCCAGTGTTATTATGCAAGGGTAGCCTATTTGCAAAAGAATAAACAGTCCTGCTTCCAGACTGATACATGGCCACATCACTAAGCTAGCTGCTCTAAGACTGTGGCTGTGAGAGTTTATCCAGAAGTGTGTCAGTGAGTTCTAAAAAAAGGTTTCTGATAGATTCAAAAGTAATGTTATGCTGTGTTTATTCATAATAGCAGCTTTCATTCACAAAGCACTTTGCTTGGTTACTTCATTGAATGTGTGATGCAATCAAGGGCTGGTTACAGTCAGTGAACATTTAGACCAAATCAGTTAAATATACCTCGATCAAAGAGGCTATGGGGGAGTTTACCAGAAAGAGCAGAAGAAGTTGCATTAGCAAACCTGTAGATTGCACTGGCGACGGTTTTAGAGAACTTTTCTCCGTGACACTCTAAAACATAATCGTCTCCAATCAACGTGGCTGGTGTGTTCTGGCCGATTTGGCGTCTGAAATCTGCCTCCTTGTGTTTATGTGTTTGTGTGGCTGTGTGTCTGCCCCTCCTACCCTCACTCTGCTCAGTGACAGAAGCCGTTTTGGTTTGTTTTTTTTTTAATCTGGTGCGCTCATGGTCCGCTGGTCGCTGGGGAGAAAGACGCACCGGGAGGATCGACGCACAAGCCCACAGCCAGAAAATGACCGTAGAAAGAATATTCGACGAGATCGGTCATTTCAAAAGGTATCGAGAGTATTAGTGCTCTTCTCCAGACTTAGCGGCACTAAGTTGACAGGTCCTGTGTCTGTGAATTGGTTCTGGTACTTTTCTACGTCTTAAGTTTGTCTTAAGTTATTTTTATTCCATGTTACGAATGCGCTTTGAACGCGCACACTAACGGCAGATCTCGTCCTGGGTGCCTTCACTCAGAGGAACGTTTGTCCTTTGAGTGAAAAATAAATAATTGCTGTAAACTGATGTGCATGTTTTTACATATTAAGTGTTTTGAAATCCCCAAATATAACAGTCTGGCCTAATAGGTTTTCAAGAGTCGTTAGAAGACGAACTGTTAAGGCTCCCCATTTTAGGTGAAGATTAGAATGATACTTCTCATCCCCTCTCCAGTCAGAATATTTTAATGTCTTTTCTTTCTCTCCAGATTTCAGGCATGTCTGTACTTTGCAGCCATCTTCCAGGCCATAGCCTGTGGAATCCACTACCTGGCCTCTGTTTTCCTAGTGGATACTCCAAACTTTGTGTGCGGTGTGCCCGGCAACATCACCGATGCCCTGTACTATAACCTTACAGGGCATAGTTTGGAAGACATCCTGCCAGTCTTTAAAGGAGGGACTGGACCCTTGGTGGTGAAAACAACTGACGGAGAACAGTGGGAGCTCAGCCAGTGCCACCACGCCCTGCGCATTAATCCCAAAGGCTTTTCATACGACTTTCTTGGCAACAAAACAGTGAAAGCTTGTGATGGGAACTTTGTTTTCGACCACACTGAAATTCAGCAAAGCATAGTGACAGACTGGGACTTGGTGTGCGAGAGACAGTGGCTTGCAAAGCTGTGCCAACCCACCTTCATGCTGGGGGTGCTGATTGGAGCGCTTGTGTTTGGGGACATTGCTGACAGGTAAGAATGGTTGTCAAGCATCTCTCCCATGTTCAAAGCAAGGTGCAGTTCCATGCATATGTTGCTTTGCTTTCAATACAGGACTGGATATAACTGATGTTTGACATTGCACAACTGATGCAACTCTAAGACAGGAGGCAAAGGCGCTGTCACACAAACTCACAACGCTGTGGTGACCATTATGATTGTTTCACCAGTTGGAGCTGGTTAAGTGTAGCCTGAGTCACAGAAAAACAAAAAAACTACACAGCACTGCTAACACAGCTAACTGGAGCTGAAACGATCAGTCAGTCAATTCAGATGCTGTATGGGCTTACTCTGGTGCCCTGTTTACCTACACTTACTGACCACTTTATTAGGCACACTACAATTGTATGTATTCAGTGCAACACTTCCACCGTAACATCTGGGTTTATGAAGCTCAAAATGTTTCAGTTATGATGAAATTGTGGTAAATGCATAAATTCAGTTATATGTTTATTATTGAGCTCATAGTTAAAAGTGGTATTGTACTGGACTACATTCCTAATATTCTGACCCTCTTTTATGTAGCTGGGGAGGGACAAAGATATAAAGACACCTCTGAATATAATGTAGTCCAGTGTATGTTGTTCTTGTTTACCTCATTTCTCCTGACTTCCTCCCTACCTGTTATGGGTGTCACTCTCCTTCAGAGTCGGCCGTGTTAGGATTCTGATATTCACCAGTCTCTGTCAGTTTGGGTTCGGGGTGGCTGTAGCATTCTCTACAAACTTCCATTTCTTTGTGGTGCTACGCTTCCTTCTCGCCATGGTGAGTTAGTACAGCGTCTGTCTTGCATGCCAATGGTTGGTGCCGTCGAGGCCGTGATAGAATAACACATAACATTTTTCCACAAAAGGTTTTTCAAAACTGTAATGCAAGTGTAAAATGAAAGAACTCTGTCATTAGTAACGCATGCATACTGGACCAGTTATATATAATTTAAGAAATAAAGAACTACCATTGTGTAGGACAGCATTCCTATTTTTCTGCACGTTAAATAAATGTATCTGTGTATATGACATTTATGTCTGAGTTAAGTCAACGTTCTTGCCAAACTGTTAAGTAATCAGGTTAGGCTTTGAGAATTAAAACACCCAAGAAGCTTCATCAGTTCAAAACATCTTTACAAACCCAAGGAAACAAGTCATTCCAGTTAACAAACCCACATGGCAGTTGAGTTTAAAGCCCCCCTACAGTCTTTTTAACATGTCACTCCTCATTCTTCTACCACTCCTCCAGTCCAAACTTGCTACAGCTGTTGTTCCACATAGAACCAAACTCAGAATAGGCTCATACTGCACAGCCACGCTAAACACAGTGCCGATTCATCACTAGAAGCAGAGATTCAAAGTCTGATTCATGCCACATTCATTACACTAAGATTAAAAGGAGAACTGGCACAGAAAAACAACATGTTTATCTGAGTTGCAGACATGTCAACATACAACTCCTGTAAATTATTCCTGTGATTTTTTTTTTTAAGGGGTAAATGGCAAGGAGTTGATCAAATGACCAGCATGAACAACTGGAACAAGCAATAATGCCCCTTTTTAATATTAAAGCAAGACCATAACATATAAAAGACAAAAGGGCATATTGTTTCCTTTACAAATGAAGAGTTGAACCGATCAAACTCAACCTCACTTACATTTAAAAACCCAAGAGTTTGCTGCTACACTATGACTTTGCCTCATTTGCCCAACAGCTAGTAGCTAATGTAAGCAGACCTAAGATGAATATAGCTGTGCAACTGTACTCTCATTATTTTGTACTTTTTTAAATGGTGCTAATCTTAGTTGTCTTTTTGTCAAAGTGGGTGATGAACAATAAAAATTACGTATTGAAGTATTGAATATGTGGACTAAAGATGAGCTGTAATTTTTTTGTAACTTCTAAAGTCAGACAAAAAAACAGACAAAGTTATTTTACTGTGGCCCCAAAACCTCAGAAATAAGTGATGCTGAAAAACTGGTCCATGCATTTGTTACTTCCAGGCTGGACTACTGTAACTCTTTACTATCAGGATGTCCCAATAATTCCCTAAAAAGCCTCCCGTTAATCCAAAATGCTGCAGCCAGAGTACTGACAGGAACTAGCAAGAGAGATCATATCTCTCTCATATTAGTTTCTCTCCACTGGCTCCCTGTAAAATTCAGAATAGAATTTAAAATCCTTCTCCTAACATACAAAGCCCTTAATGACAAGGCTCCATCGTATCTTAAAGACCTCGTAGAGCCTTATCATCCTAACAGAGCACTTTGCTCTCAGAGTGCAGGTTTACTTGTGGTTCCTAGAGTCCACAGAAGCAGAATGGGAGGCAGAGCCTTTAGCTATCAAGCTCCTCTCCTATGGAACCAACTCCCAGTCTCAGTTCGGGAGGCGGACACCCTCTCTACCTTTAAGATTAGACTTAAGACGTTCCTTTTAAAAAAAGCTTATAGTTAGGGCTGGATCAGGTGACCCTGAGCCTTCCCTTAGTTATGCTGCTATAGGCCTAGGCTGCTGGGGGGCCCATGATGCTTTGAGCTCCTCTCCTCTCCTCATTCCTGATGCACTTATATGCTGCCATTAGGTGGCATTAACTTTGTGTCTCCCCTATACCATGCTTTGTCCTCTCTCTCCCCTCTACATTTTCTGCAGGTATCCCTGGCTCCAGAGTTGTATGCCACTGATGAGCAGTCACCAACCACATCAACCTGCTCAGTCTTTGATTGTTCCTTGTATCTTATTGCTTTTCTTTTCTTTAATCTCTCCTTTCTTCACTCACTGCAACCAGTCGAGGCAGCACAGCCGCCCACTAACAGCCCAGGTCTACTGGAGGTTTCTTCCGTTAAAGGGAGTTTTTACCTCTTTACTGGGGGATTTGCTGGGTTTGTCTATAATACTATAAGGTCTAGACCTTATGTAAAATGTCTTAAGATGATCTTTTGTTATGATTTGGTGCTATACAAATAAAACTGAACCAAATTAAAGAAAACTCATGCAGGCACGGGGAAAGCATGTGAACTCCAGACAGGAAGGCTCAAACCTTTTGCTATGAGGCAACAGAGCACCACTGTGCTGCCCATAAGCACCATGGGAAATCCTTAAATGTTTAATCAGACACTGTGCAGTGTATGGCAATAATACCGACAAAAAGTGCACCTCAACATTTCACTAAACTCTATAAATATGTACATGTATATGCAAATGTGCTGCCAAGTACCATTACAACTTCCAATTCCTGCATCAGGACCCTATATATCAATTTAATCCATTTTCTCCATCTCCTCTCTTCTCCCTTTCCATCTACCAATCCTCCTTCCTCTCTTTCCACTTTTGTCCGTGACCCTCCTTTCCTCTTTCCTACTTTTGCCCCTGGCAGGTGTCCAGTGGCTACCTTGTGGTAGTGTTTGTCTATGTCACAGAGTTCACTGGCATCAAGGTACGCACATGGACCTCCATGCATGTGCATGCAGCCTTTGCGGTCGGCGTCATGGTAGTGGCTCTGACTGGCTACCTAGTGCGGGTCTGGTGGATCTATCAGATCATCCTCTCTTTATGCACCTCACCCTTCCTGCTCTTTTGCTGGACGTTCCCCGAGACACCCTTTTACTTGATAGCTAAGGGCCGTTACAAGGATGCTCAGACCCTGCTGGAGGCGATAGCTCGATTCAACGGCCTTGAATGCAAGCTGAAGGTGGAAGAGCTCCTGGAGCCAGAGGAGAGTAAGAACGGCAGAGCTCTGCTGAAGCAGGAAGCAGAAGAGGAGAGGCCCTCGCAGTCTAAAAAGAAACTGTCCATTTTGGATCTGTTTGGGAGCTGGAGGATGGCGGGCCGTACATGCACAGTGTGGGCCATCTGGTTCATCGGCAGCTTGGGCTACTATGTCTTCTCATTGGGCTCAGTCAACTTAGGAGGAAACCAGTATATTAACCTCTTCATTGCTGGTAAGTGATGTGTGGCTGATGAGTGTGGAGGTGCATGAAATAGAAGGGGGAAAGTGATAATGCTGTTGCAAAACAGTACAGCTTTTCTGCAGCAATCCTGCATAAATCATCCAAATGCACGAGTACTGGTGTCTGTGGACAGATTGGGTGACTACTGACAGCTGCTGTACTACTTTAAAACCTTTGGTTTTAAATGCAGATTTGGTTTGTCTCTGTGTGTGTCTTTAATTATGTTCTCCTTTCCACTTTGGCTTCTTTTAACACTGAAATTATGTTGTAGCCAAGAAACAAAAGCACTCTCTCTCTGTCTCTCTCTTTCTCTCTCTCTCTCTCTCTCTCTCTCTCTCTCTCTCTGCCAGCTGAATAATTTGTTGCTTTTTATCTAATAAAACATCTGTGATGTGCTGCTTACAGGTGCAGTGGAGCTCCCCGCTTATATGCTTGGCTGTTTTGCAATGGACCGAATTGGAAGGAAGAGGACTTGTGCACCATCTCTGCTCCTGGCCGGTGTTGCTTGTATGCTCATCATTGTGGTGCCTGCTGTACGTACTACAAGTGTGTGTCTGAGAGAGAGAGATAGTCAGGATATGTACAGGAAACTACATTTTATCTGAGTAATTACATGAACAAATGCAAACAGGTGACAAATGAAAACAAAAACAGTAGTGTCTTAGTAAGCTGTTGGCCCCCCACCCCAACTCTTTTCCACAGGACATTGAGGTACTAGCCATCGTTCTCAGTATGGTAGGGAAGTTTGCCATCGCCATTGCCTTTGGTCTCATCTACCTGTACACCTGTGAGCTTTACCCGACCATCATCAGGCAAGTACAAAGAAAACCATAACATGAACAGTATATATCTAAATACAATCCATTTGACTTGTCTTTTTATAGATGTTCAAACAAACACTGTTTTGTTAAAACCGATTTACCAAAGAATTAACCCAGAGAAGATTTTATAATGAATGTGAAGACTAGTTACTGTTTCCCAAAGCTTGAATATATAATTTTCACACCAAGACAGACTACAGCATAATTAGATTTTTTTCTATTGTGTATTTGTGTTTATATCCTTGACTGATTTGTTGGAGTTTCTAATTATTGTTTAAAGGGCTTAGTACTAAATGTTTTGCAATTTAAGAAAAACAAAATCATGGAAGGAAGAGTCATGATTGTCATTAGCATTGTTTTGTGTGTTTTTGTAGATCCTTCCACAGAATATCATTAAGGTTTCCAGCTCAGTATCTTTTCTTCAAGGATAAGGCCAGTCATTTTCCATATTAATAGTATTTTCAGCAATTCCCATAAAACCAACAATAAATCGCCTCTAATCATGGTTCACGTCTGTCAGTCCTGGATCAGCTTCTTCATCTCTGCCATAGACCTCCATTGCTGTGGTTGGCGTGTTTATTTGTTATGAAACACCAGTCCCCAGTATGTGTTAAAAATGTTTCCCCACTGGCTCCAAACAGCCATAACTTTTTACAGCTTCTGAAGCAAGAGTCAAGGGCCCATGCCCAAGATCTCTGGATATTTTAAATATTAGGATCGGGTGTTTCATAACGATGAAACACGTCACCCAGTGCAGCGGTGTGTTTCTCAGATGTCTTTTTTTAAACAACAATGGATGTCTGGGGCACAGATGAAAAAAATAACCCAGGACCAAGGCACCGACAGACATTAACAGCAAGTAGAGGCAATTCATTGTTGTTTAATCTCTGTATGGGGAGTGTTGGAAATACTATTAATATAGAAAACAACCACCCTTATCCTTTAACAACACATGCACAAAACAACCAGTGTACCTGCAGATATGATTCACTTTTGGTCTAAAAGGTCTAGGGCTGCTCCCAGATAGGAATAGCTGAGTCATCAGTTGCAAGACCTGTCAGTCGACTCCTGTTTTTATATATTATTATTATTATTATTATTATTATTATAGTATTGTTACTTTTTGTCAACCAGTGTGCATTACAATAGAAAGCAGCCGCAGTTGGTAGTTTGTTGTCTTCATCTCCTCATTTTGATGTGGCAACCAGCAATTTGCTCAATGCTTCCCCCTTGTGGTCGGGAGTGAATAGCCACTTTAATGGTGACTGTCCGATACAAGGATTTGCATTTAGCAAATTGCAGAATGAGGAGAAAAGGACAACAAACCCCACTAGAACAAGTCACAAAAAGGTGAGATTTATACTTTATTATAAGTGTTTCTTAAATATTGTTGTCAAGAGAAAATGTGGCTAGTTTTGCGAAGTTTAATGCAATGCGAGTCTGGTTTGTTTACCCATCTCCATTAAAATGCAATGTAAAGTCATGTGCGGAAACATTTCAATGAGGAATTACAAATAAGAGGAATTGTTTGCAGCACAAACTGGCACACATCAAACGCACAGTAACAACATGCACTGTGGTTAACTGACGGGAGAAGCTCAAACTTGTTGGTAAACTAGGCTATAACCATGTCTCAGGAGAAAAACAAAACTGCCCATAAGAGCATTGCTTCAACAGAAATGCAAGCGTGCTGCCTGTCTCATTATTCCAATAAATCCAAATGGCAGCTCCACGTTATATATCAGCAATTTAAATAGATCACAAGTTAACTGCATCATATGCAGCTGTCTTTTGTTGATTTTTAAATGCACAAATATGTTCCTGTCACTCTTTTGCGTTTAAATATAGATGTTAATGTGGTCGAAAACATCACTGAAATTCATCCCAGTTGATTTTCTGACAGTCTAGACTATGTGTGTGTGTGTGTGTGTGTGTGTGTATATTTAAAAAAAAAATGAAGAGAAAGATTGACAGTCGACTCAGAAAATCCTAAAACTTCTCTAATATTGCTGATCCCATCTATGAACCCCCTCCAGGTCTCTGGCTGTCGGTAGTGGCAGTATGATGTGCCGTGTTGGCAGTGTAGTGGCCCCCTTCTGTGTGTACCTGGCTGATGTCTGGGTCTACCTACCGCAGGTATGCACATGCTCTTGTTGCAAAACAACAGACACTACTGTGTATTTACCTTGTCTGATCTGTCACCTTTACACTCTCTACCTATTTGTCACAACTTATCTACAAGGACGTCCTGCCAAGGAAATACATTTTCACAGATTTTTTTTTTTTTTCCTTCATTCATGATCCTGTGCAGCTCATTGTGGGAATCCTGGCATTCATTGTTGGAGTGCTTACACTGTTGTTACCCGAGACCCTGGGCACACCCCTAACAAATACTCTGGAAGAGGCTGAAGCTCTGGGACGCAAGCCCAGCAGGAACAAGGATGGGTTGGAGATGAACTACCATGAAGCAAAGGCCTGAACTGTACACTCCAGGAAAACCGGAGAGACAGACACACACAGAGAGGTGCTTTGGAAAAACAGAATGGAGGGAAGAGAAAGGAGATGATGGCTGCAAACACTACATCTACACAAATAATGTAGTACATCTCAAATATTTTATTTTGTCTATCCAAACAATACAGGCATAGACAGGTGACAAATTTTTTTATCACTACCCGTTACTTTTTTTAAAATCTCAGGACATTCACTTTTGGATGTCACTGTGAAACTATCCAGTGGCTCCTGTAGGATTATATTTTACAGTGTGCACAAGAACTGCAGATGGCAGCATATTGCTGCCACCATGAGAAACAGTATGCTAAATATAATATTTAGCTATGAAACTTTCACATTCAAACATGATACTGGGGTAAGTGACAGTGGCACACAATCTGACTTGCAGCATCTCAGTAGCTCATTCACTTCAGCAGCCTCTCCCTCATCAACTCCCTGCCATACCAACTTTCCACACAGTGACCAACATTGCTCTTAGGAAGTGCCCTCCACCCAGTCTTTGAGAATCACTGCTCTGACACTTAAACCCACTGACAATAATTAGCACACAAAATAAATCATGAATGCAGCTCATGAGCTGTGATAAATAAAAAATACCCTGCACCTGTCCTGATGATATTACAGGCAATGCTGCCAGCAGGAAATTCAGTGGGTGCGCTGCTGTCACTCTCTCCAAGTTGTGCAGGGCTCACGTTAGGGAACAGAAATGATATGATCCACTCTAGGGGTGTGTGACATTATAATTGATAGATCTTTGGGCCATAAATTTGAAAGTATATTTCTCTATAAACTATACTATATGTTGATTGTTCAATGACCACTAGACGGAAAAATTGAGCAAATTCATTTTAAATAATGTACGCACTGTGCTTACAGGATTACAGCTGCAGTTGCCACCGACTCAACTCTGTCCGTCCATTGAAATGCCACTGCAGAGCTTTAAAGCCACTCCAGCTAACTCAACCGTTAGAGAACGAGTTAGAATCAAAGCAAACTCAACCCCTTCTCTTCTCCCTCCGCTCCTCCTTGTCCCTCCTGACCTGTCTGTGAATCTATGTCATATGTGACAACTACATTTTAGCAACATCTCACTTAAATGCTACATGGACTGATGTGTTATGTCCATCATAAACAAATGTGCCAGTTTCCGCTAAATGGAAAACAAATAGTGAAGTATGTTGGTGTCCTAGATTTCTCCATGCAATCTAGGTGCTAGACATACAGCACTGTACAGGTTCAAGGATCAAGGTGTCATCTCCAGATGTTTGGACCACGGACTGAAATGAAGCACAGTGTGGAGATGCATTTGACTGCTCAGCAGTACTGAAGGACACTATAGATTTCTGTCTTATATCAAACAGTCACATGGTGCTTTGATCCAAAGGAGAACAAATTCAAGACAATCAGTCTGAACAGTGATCATCACTGTACTCAGGTTCACAACAGTATGACTTTTTTGTATAAATAGTTTCATTCTTAGTATTATCTTTATTTCATTATGGAAAAATAAACAAGTTGGCTGGTACTGGAGTTGTTGCTCTCTTGATTACTACTGTACACACCTGCACTGTTTATACAGCTCTAACAATGATAGCTCTACAATGATACTGAGAAAGGAAACTAGGAATCTTTTTTTATAAGCCTTATTTGATAAATGAGCACCTTCTCAAGTTAAAGCTCTTTCTTCCGGTCTCTTGCTTTCTGCCACCATGGGGAATTGGAGGGTTCAAGGTGCCTGAAACATAGGGGAAGCTATTTCTGTCATAAGGGGAATGCAGAGCAGGTCTGGAAACAGCCGTCCAACACTACGAGCTTCCTATTTGCTAGCAGAGAGGAGGTCCCGCTGCCACAACGCCAGCACATGAACAAACCATCTGTGTTCAACTTTGGAATGTGTGTGTGTGAGCACATGCACGCATGTGAATGGAGAAGCTAAAGTAATGCGCCTCAGTTGACCCTTTAACAGCCAGGCCACTAATATCAACTTCCAGTTATGCCACCATACTAATTCCCCAAGTGGTGTTTGGCTGTGATTGGACAGTACAGAGTAAAGATTGTTGGGAATTTCCCTTCAGTGTGTGTATGTGTTGTAGCTTGGGAGTATTTTTGTGAATGCTAAACTAAGCTTTAGACTTGGAGAGAGAGAGGACATTATTGGAATGTGAGGACTCATTTCCTCAGAGGGCTGCCTGAGAGTTCACAACTCCTGTTAAGGTTTAGGGCTTAGCAATGCTTCTGCTGTAATACATACACCTAGGTAGCAAAGATTGGAACAGGGGCTAAAAACAATGACAGCAAATTATGAACTATTAGACTGAGCACATCTGGTGCTGACAAGGACTATGATATAATTTGACAGTTCGACTTCTTCAGCCTTCTACTAATCTCGAACTGAGTTAATTAACTCAAACGATTTAAGTACACAAAATAGATTCAAGTTAATCTAACTAACACTATGATATTAGTTGAACTCATATGAAGCATCACCCTAACTTGTTTAAAATTAGTACATTTAACTTTTACAGATCAAGTAAGTCTAAATTATATGTATAAATTAACACAGATATTACTACTTAAGTTTAATTTACTAAATCTTATTCCATTAAGACAAGTTATTACAATCAAGTTATGTCAACTTCAATCTTTGCTGTAGCTACTCAAGTCATTTGAGGAAAGTGACAATAGATACGAGTATGTCAGACAACTTTTTATTTTGTTCAAAAATTCAAAACAGAACGTAACAAAATATTTTTCAATACATTTCAACAACAAATTAGTACTTGTAACTGATGTTAAAGTATAAAGTACTGTACATAGTACAAAAAAGCTGGCAAATGTCACCACATGACATAAAAATGTTTTACCATTTAACAAGTGGTTAAATATAAAAAAGGAACAGTATGAACTGAATAAACACAAAGCAGCATTAATTTTTGGCATGCAAGCCAAATCTTTGTAAGGCACTGCAGACCTCCAGTGACAAACAGGCTCATTCCAGTTCGTTTCTCAGGGCCTGTAACTTTGGTTTGAGCTGCTTTCTGCCATCATCAAGCTTTAGGAGCACAACTTGTATGAACTCAAAGAAGCCACTTAGCTTCTCAGGATAGCTCAAATGTAGAGCATACATCAGTCCAAACAAACCCACCAGTGAGTCTGTCCAGGATCTGTGATACATAACAACTTGCCCCTCAAGGACGACTGACACATGGTTAATTTCAAAGGGGATTCCTGCAGGCACTTCTCCATTGACCACTGCCACCAAAGCCACTGGCCCCTCTTGGTCTGCCTCAGATTCTTCCTAAAAAAGAAATACATCCTTAATGCAAGTGTAATTGTATAAATGATCCAGATGCAATACACAATGACACTCTACTACATGTTGAGAGGAGTAGGAAATCTATGATGCCCTATGATTTATTTTATTAGTCATACATTAAATCCCTTTAAAGAAAAATATGAACTATCTAACTTGACACCCAATTAAATGACAGGCATAACTGTCACGATCCTGCCGTTTTGAACTCTCATCACATGTTCCTCGTTATGTTTTCTTTCTCTGATCTGTGTATCATGCCTGTGTTCTGTGTCCATGTTAAGTTTAGTTATCTGTATCCAGTTTATCCCCTTCATTGTCAGTGTGGTTCATGCCTGTTTACCTCCAGCCTGTCTGTAGCTCTGTGTGCTTCTGTTACCTGTCCTGTGATCTGTTTCATGTTAATGTCTGTGTTGTGTCCTGTGTGCTCCTTCCTGTTGTCTAGTGTATGTATATTTATCAGTTTCCTGTTTTATTGTGAAATCTGTTTTCCTGTTGTGTCTGTTTGTTTCCTCCTCAGCAATCACACCTGCACCTTGTCACTGTCTCCACCTGTGTCTTGTTATCCCCAGTCTGCCTTGTGTATATCTACCCGTGTGTCTCACTTGTCCTTTGCCAGTTTGTCGCGTCAGATTCCTGTGTAGTTTCCCTGCGTTATTCTGCTGAGCGTCAGCTATTATGGTGTGAAAGATAAAACATACCTTGCAAGTTTTGAAGACTTCTGATGAATCCTCCTTTAAATATAGTGGTAGGCCGGCGAGGGCGGCTGTTCTAGCTGCACCAATGTTGTTCTTGTCCTGTTGCACAAACAAAAACAGGGGAGGAGTTTAGAGGAGTGTAAGGTCCAACAATTATATTCAATATAAATGCAATGCATTAAAACTTGTTTACCTGCTCTTCATAAGCCAGCAAAAGTTGTTCTATCTTCTCACCAAAGATTCCGGTCTTCCTCTTTTTGTAGAGCTTCAGTAGTTTAGGTGTGTAGTTGTCAAGTGCAGCAAAGAAGGCAAAGGGTAGATTGTGATTGGTGATTCTGTGGAACTCACTGTAGAGCTTCAAGGAAAAGAACAGAAAAGGTTATAAAGATAAGCTGCAGTGTTTGCACTAGGAATCTAGCTTAAGGGGGGCGCGGGTTGACAAGGGTATGGCGCCCCCCTAATATAATGGTAGAGGAAACACTGAGCTGACAATTTGTTTTTACGCCTAAAATTCATCTAAGAGTAAAGGAAAACATACTTTTCAAACACTTTCAGATAGGGAGACATACTGTAAATATTCAGGTACTCAATTTCAACATCTTTATCCACATTTATGACAAAATGTGACTTACTTGGGCTTCACAGAAGAGCGCAGGCCATCTGGCTTTCAGTTCGCCAATGGGAGGAGCTGAACTCACAATTTCTTCACGCCTGAGTGCAAAGGTCCTCTGCATATTTTGATGGATGAGGATCATGTCTCTTTCTGCTGATGCCTTCTTAAACTGCTCCACCATTTCAAGCCTCTGGGTCTCCAGAGTGTTCTTATTTTCTCCATGGGCATGAAGTTCACTTCCCCTCTTCTGGGTCTTTTGATGTTGGCCCGAGATGCAGCAGCCTCTGGATTGGTCCTGCTGCGCTTTCCTGCATTTACAGCCACATCCTTTATGCCAGCTCTGCTCAGTTTGGTCCTGTAGTTGCCCATCTTGAAGCGCAGGCTGATATTCCAACCCTCATGCCCTGTCTTGGAACCACTTTAAGGAACAAGAAAAACCACACAGCTTACATTTCCACATTGTGCCCTCAAATAACAATAAAACCACGAAAACTTGTTTTCGTTAGCAGTTTTTCCACTGCTCACTACACTGTTCAAAAACTATGCGCGCCAAAGAAAACCGACACTATAGTTAGCGTTGGCTAACATTTAGCATTAGCTTTGTTTCTCTAAGCTCCCAAGTACATTTTCGTTGGTATATGTTCGGTATGCTATCA